TTGTAAACTGGTTCTCTCCTGCTGAGAGGTTATTTATCCGGGTACGCTGGCTTTCCTACCTCCGCTAGCTGTACATGAATATATAGAGGGCCACAAGTAAACTAGTCAAGAGACTGTAACGCGCTACCGTCTCAGAAAATGAGAGTTGATATAATGTAACTGGAGTCGGATAATTTATGGACATCGATTTTTTTCTTGATTTTTATAGGCCCATGGCATGGCATCGTTGCGTTACACAATATATCAACTCCATTATTCTCGCATCTTTCTCTGAGTTATAACATACCTAGCTTGCCATCATCATCTTATGCATTTTAGATATTTATGTTTTCTTGTGACGTCACGTGAAGAATTTAGCGTTATTTCCGCGTAGACTCCATTTACTCGGGATTCATTTCATATTGTGGCTTTAAAGTGGCAGAACCAATTTGAATCTTCAAGTGTTTTGACTATATGAGTTATGTAAATGATAGCTTCCTTTCATACTTAGCAAGCATGGTGGCTTACATAGTAGTTGCTCCAGGCTTCGCTGAAAAAGGACAACCATCCATGGATAATGTATTCTCCAGTTTTGAATTCTCCAATGCTCTGTGTTAGCCTCATTTGTGCGCAAAATATTCCTTATTGTGAGCGTAAATCAAATTTATTGTCTTTCTTCACACAATTCCAAGCGTTTTCTCGAGCTATCAATGAAACAAAAGAATATGTTACTTGGTTTTGAGGCTAACACAGAGCAAACCAGAACTCGAAATTGGAGTATTCTTCACTTCATCATGACTCTAGCATTTCTTAAAAATAATAACTCATGTATTAAAACCATGCTTGAAAAAAGAATGCAAAAACAATACTTCAAAGATGTTTAAAAATTTCCCGCCATTTTTCTGCAAAACATGTACACTAACGTTTTATCTCCATATTTGGACTCAACATTGAAACACTAATAAMAATAAAAAGACAGGGAACCCGAATTTTGTATGAACTAAATCAACTGCGTGTGTAAGATGCCATATCTATTGAGTAAATATTCAATGCTCTTCAGGTAAGAAGACTTCATATATTTCTCTTTCTTCAGAGTGCCCCTAATAGATACTGGACTCGATTTTCAGTCAAGTTTTGGTGTGTTATTCCATCTTTAGTTAACGAACGAAATTTTTCAATTTTCACTGAATCCTTGAATACAAGCTTTGCCTTAGACATTGTCTTTGGCCACTACTGGATTGCATCATTAAGCTTGAAATATAGAAAAGCTTCCTTTYTTAAAGAAACCTCGAGAGAGTCACAATTTCTAAAAGAAGTTCGTCAGAATCAATTTGAAAAAAAATTTGACCGATGTAAAGAATGCTAGCTCGACAAAAGCCATTTTTTCTGATCTCCTAAATGTAAATTTTTATAAATTCAAAATGTTACACCGTGAAATCTAAGACCGCGTTGGATCATGGGAAAGCAAATATGACGAGTATTATAGGCCTAACAAAGTGTTTTGGTGGAAAAAAATTGAAGATTGAACAAAATAACCTTCTCTAAGGGTATTGCCATTAGGTAACAAATATCAATTGGACTTCTGAGTGCTTTACTCTTTTCGGTATTAGGTTCTTGCATGATATCATATTTACGACCCGATAACTTAATTCAGTTATTTGTATCATACTTGAAGCTTGTCTGAGAGACCTGCAGAGATGCCATTGTAATGTTAAAGGAGATTCGTCGTGCATCCAAGAATCTGGTATTACTCTGCCATATTCCGGTATTTATTATTAATGGTACAGCATTACGTTTTCAAGGAGTCATGTTTATATTCAGAGATATATGTTTTATGTGGACTGATGCCTTTAATGTCCATAATGTCAAAATAATAGGAAACCACAACAATGCAGGTAGGTGTATGATTGACAACGTTATGGTACTATCGTTATAGTTAGAATTCTAGTAGACTTTAAAGTTGACTGTAAGAGCTATATTGTAAGGTTCTAGGGTTATTTGTATTGCCCGCAAGATGACCAACTTGTAAGAACAGCTCTTGGTTAACGATTTGTGGATTTTTTCCGATCGGTCTCTCATCTACTGAACAGATGTTGACACCAAAGTGTTCTTTAATAATCATTTAAACTTCATTTGCAATTTGTAGTCAAATTATAAGGAATCTTTTCGATTCAGCCTAACCTGAATTCAAGATTAACTATGTACTAGGATAAAGCTCCTACCGTCTATATAGGGAAAAAATATGCAGGTTTGAATATTTACTGTGGGAAAGAGAAATAGGGAAATTTATATATCATGATCACTTTGGTATCAATTGTATTTGGAGGGACGTTTACATCCTAACATCCCTTCCTCATGAATATCATGAGGGCAGTTTAGTTTGTAATTTTCCCTCATCAATAATTAACGAGGGCAAATTAAAAACTAATTTGCCCTCAAGTTATTCATGAGCTAGTCCCACGTATTTAAAATCACTGGGACTCGGGTTTAGTTGACTTACTAAACCCTTCAGAATCGATATATCCTGTAATGAAGTTGTATCTCGGATCTTCACTGTGGGAGATCATCAGAGCGTACCAACAGTCAGTAATAATCAAAAATAATTTGCACATGCGTAACAACTGACTAATTTATTTTACTAATCATATCAATATTATYTTTAAAACAAAAGTTCATTTTTTAAACGTAAGTGGGTGTCAATCTTTAGGCATGCGCATTACAATTAGCAGCATCAACCAAAAACGCTTTATTTTATCCCTGAAACCGTGAATTTGGGATTCGTTCCATTACAAATATTACTTGTTAAAGGTAATGTTAATACYAAATTTGCTTAATTTATCTCCTTTCATGTTGATACAAAAGAAATCCCTKGCRCTCTATTCTCTGRTATTCTCGATTTCAGCGTCTTTARCGCAACTAGAACGACTTTTTGCCATTTCTTATCAACCTGGCGTATTGCAAAAGTCATTACTGAATTTATATGTTTTATGTGTTAACAGGAATTTAYTCCTATGAGAGATTGAATTGCCAAATATACTTAAAATGTTGTTATGATATCATGTTAGAAAAAAAATTCATTTGATATCCAAAGAGTAATTATTAGTCAAGTTCATGTCATTTTTGAAAACCRTAATTTATTCCTGTTTAGMTAGAATCAAATTGTCAATATGCTTTTGCTTTATTTCCACGGAAATCATAGTATTACAAAGTAATACCATGGCATCTTCGGGATATTAGGTATAAAATGTCCTCTCAGCCTCGGAGAGTCCCGAGGCCGCAGGCTTCGGGGACATTTAATCCCTAATATCCCTCAGTGCCATGGTATTATTTAAAATTAGCTATTTTAGGCTCTATCCACTGTGAATTATTAATTACTTCATACAACTATTTAAAAAATAAAGAAAAGAAAGAAAAAACTTCTGATAATGAGAGCTAGATTTCAATTTTGAAATATTTTTGTGTATTTTTTTTGAAGTAATTTTTGTGTTGTGCATACGAAATTTCGTTTATTTTAATTAATTTAAATGGTATTTTTGTTAGTGTTTTTGAATTCGCGCGGTTTCGTCATAAAGTGCATGTATCAAATTCTTGATGTTGTGTTTGCGTTTACAAATAGTAAGACAGGTGAGAAGAACCATTGACAACAGAAGTAAGTTCGTCATAAGAACAAAAGCTTAAAACAAAACGGAAACACTACAAGGAAAAGAGTSAAAAGCACCCTGGAGAGTCGTTTTGTGATCACTCGTTGTGAAAGCAACTTGCACAGAAAATCATATATCGACCTTAAAAAGATGAAATCTGGAGCGTCAAAACGTTTTCATCAGGTAAAAATATTGCGCATGTACATGTATTGATCTATTCCCCTTCAGATTACAAATAACATTTTACTGTGTGTGTTTTGAGCTGGCTAAAAACGGCTAAATCTAGGATCACACTAAAAGTAAATAGTTGAACTTCATGCCTAAAGTAGAGTGGTTTTCATCGGACTGTGAAACAATTACTATTAGTCAGTGTTTAATAGTGTCTAATAGTTGTATTCCAATAAAAGAAAGCAATGGGTGTAGAGTCTACTAGCATCTATTAGCGTAGGAACTATTTCACAGTCCGATGAAAATCACTCTAATTATTATATAGCTTCTGAGCATTTCAAGGCAAYACATTTAATGAAAAATGATGTTCAAGGTAAAAAAATATAATGTGTTTTCACTNTAACTTGTGTGCTCCTAATAACACTGTTTATATGCTGTGTTTTTCATAAAACAACATACGAGCTGTTATTTGAATGAACTACAAATTTATTACTAATGAA